CCCCCCCCTCCACACACACACACACACACAAAAAAAACAGCTGAAAAGTAGCTAAAGCAGCAGAAAAAAACTTAAGTTGCCAAAAACGAAGTGGAGAGCGCACATTTTTGCTGAATTAGGCTGAAAAAAGTTGAATGAGTACAAAACGTGGAATTAGCCGAAAAAGCTCAAATTGGCATAAAACAAACAAATAGTAGGAAAAACTTGCGTAAATAAGTTGGACGGAGCGTAACAAGCTGAAATTAGCAGAAAGAAGTTAGAAGAAGCACAAAAGTGTAGTTAGAACGAGAAAGATGCCAAAAAAACTTATGGAAGAAAAATGCATCAACAGTGTGAATGCTTCATAAACATTCACACTATTAAAAAAAAGACAATAATGAACCGTGCGCTATGCTGAATGTACCTGGATCTTTCCCAGCTCTCCTGTGCTCTCCATCCTGCTGGCTACATTCACCGTGTTGCCCCAGATGTCATACTGGGGTTTTCTCGCTCCAATCACCCCGGCTATCACTGGGCCATAATTAATTCCTGCAGGGGAGGAAGGCGAGTATTAAAGTTTATTTCAAAGTGTTCTTTTTTTTTTTTTTTTTTTTTAAAGAGGCTAAAATGCACTAAAAAAGGTCAAATTGAGCAGAAAATAAAAACACTCATTTTACAGTTGCTTTGTTGTCATCAAACAGGCAGAAAAATAGTTTGTGTGTGTGTTTATGTTACTTTGCGAGGACCATTTTTCAACACAAAACATTGTGAGGACCAAAGCCGGTCCCCATAAGGTTCAAGTGTCGTTGGTGGGTTAGGTTTAGGACTAAGGTGTGAATTAAGGATAGGTTAGGGATGTACTGGTAATGGTAGGTTTAGGGTAAGAGTCTGTGTTACTTTATAGAAATAAATGGAAGTCGATGCAAAGTCCCAGTAATGATAGTAAGACAACCCTGTGTATGTGATGAAATCTGAGAAGAAAAACATCTGTGTGGAAACGCCTTAACAGAACCACTCATTTTGATGTCTCAGTGTTTGCAGGTGCATATGCGTTAGTTTTCTCCCGTATAACAAAAGTTTTTAGAACAGCTTTAATCCAAAGCATCTGCTGTGTGGACAGCAGACACAACAGATGAGTTCAGGCTATGACTTTATAAAGACCAGTACAGTTTGGAGAAGCTGGTTAGGCTTTGATAAGTGGTGACAGCTTCATAACAGAGTATGGGTGAATGGTACCACTCAGACTGTAAAAGCTTTACAAGAATGTCAATCATGTTCTGGGGAACCGAGGAAACCTTTGGGTTCATGGTGCGGGCCCCAGCAGAGATGTATTACAGTGCAGTTTACAAGGTGAAAGGTTTATATTGCAGCTGCCAAACACTCACCCACTCGCAGCCTGAAGCTGTTGAAGGAGTGTCGGTTGATGCCGTCCAACTTGCCCATCATAGCAATGGCAAACTCCACCATGATTCCTATCTGAGCCTGCTGCCGGTCTCGGTCCTGAAAACACAGAGTCACATCCAGAATCAGCACTATGTCTGTTTTTTTTTAACAAGTTCAAGTATGGTTAGGTCTGGTTCTGAAAGTGCCAGTGTGACCTCAGCCTGACCCTGCTCCACCTGCCCACCTGATTGTTCTCCTGACCAGGCGTCCCACTAAGCCCCGCAGCTGCCATGTAAGTGCTGCCAATTGTCTTGATCTTCTCCACACCACTGAACTTGGGCTTGGACAGCAGCTGTTAAGATTAGGGAGAAAACAAAAAGGGTCATGGATGCACACACACAAAATGATCATCTCAACCTTTCATCGATCCAAGTGTTTACTCTTGCAGACTTTGAACCCTGCCCCAGTCCCCATCTGTAATATTTCCTGTTTGTAGCTCAGAGAAGCAACTGGTTCTGAACAGAGGGATGAATCCGTTTTGAACTTTATCCTCCTAACCTCGTCAAAGTCGGCGGTGATCTCGTTGAGCAGCCTCAGGCATTCCAGGCCTTCCTTGTTAATATCACACTCCGTGTAAAACTCTTTGAAATCCGGCACTGAGGCAAACATCACACACACACAGTCATAGGACTTGTAGTAAAGGTCCTGTTGGGAGAAAATATGGATATGTGGAGAAAATGATTAATGTTTGACGTCTTTAGTTTACTTATATTAATACAGTAGTCCAATGCCACTTGGCTGTTCGACCATTGTGGAGTTGCTCTTCCGCGGTTTTTCAAAGTAAGATTATACACACAAAAAATTGTACCAGACATACGATTGTCAACTTTAATATTACTCACGTGATTTGGACAGTACTGGATACAGTACTGTACAGTAAAAAGTTAATGAGAAATACTTGGGACAGGCGCCACCATTTTGTAGTTTTCTATAAATAAGCCTTTAATGTATCCCCCCTCATAATGACTACATTTCCCAGAAGCCAACAGTGCCCCACCCAGAAGCCCCGTTGCCTTCTACTGAAATAATGAGGGACAGTTTTGAAATGATCGGAAAAAGTTCAGTCCTTATTCATTCAGTGACTTCGGTGCCCAGCGGATGCAGAGAGCTGCATGGAACCCACCGGGAATCGGACCAGAAACAGTGCAGAACCGGACCTCCAGTCCCACTGGCGAATCCGAGAGCTGTTAGCTGGCCCATGAGGACCTCCGAGCAGGGACGCGCCGCCCGTAGGTCCGGCCTCTCTCCGGAGCCCACCGGGACCTTTTTCATGTCCGATCCCACACCAGCCACCCCCGACCCCTAACAAATGCGCTTCGGCGCTCAAGGGCTGCACAGAACTGGACCTCCAGACTCACTGGTCAATCTGAGAGCAGCTTGTCAACCAGCAAGGACTTCAGAGCCTGTAGGTCCACCGGGATTTTTTAAAATCCAGATTTGGACTCAGTCGGACCAGAACCGAGCTGCTGTTTCTGCAGCACTGCTGAGAAAAGTTTTGCAGTACTGTACAGGTAAAATTATGTAGGTTTGAGAGTTTAGAACGTTGTGGGCTTTGTCGCTGCCGAACCAGGAACTGAGCAGCTCACTCAACTTCAAATTTTAAGTTGAGCGAATAAACATGATGAAGTTATCTTGATTAATAAACTCTTGCTAAATAAACTCTTGCTGTAGTTTAGCTGATTTAAATGTATTAGTTGACTGAACTGCTTTGGTATGTTGTTTCAACTCAGAAATCTATGTCAGTCTAACTTCAGTGTTAATTCAAATAAATAAATAAACACATAGCAATTGTACTGTGCAGATTTCGGGGGGGGTGGGGTCTGAAACCTAACCCCCGCCTTCAATGAGGGACTACTGTATATTCAAACAAGTCACTTTATATTTCTGAGAACGCATCGTGCACAGACTCACTTTTAAGAAAACATGAGCTTTGGCTTTGAGGCTATGATGTTTTGTGTAATTCCACACTATCACAGCATTAGTCAGTGATAACATATCCCTATGATGAGTCGACGCTGTTAATGGGTCCAGTATCGGGTTTCCCTGATAACACTGAACTGCTGAAATTCAAGTGACCTCAATGTATTCCAAAGCAGACAGGAGAGCATTACCAAGGCATCTTGAAATACATTAAACATACTGTAAGGAAAACTGAATTTTATCCCTATTAAGTAATCCACTAAAAGATAAGCTGTTGCCTTCTTATTGTGAGAAATTCAACTGAACTGACTTCAGCAAATACGTGAACAACCCATTCAACTTCCTGCAAAGACAGTGGTGGTGGCGTTCTGGTAAAACGATGCTCATCTGTTAGTTAACTGGATAATAAAAATACATTTTTAAATTCTTCATTGGTATTCAGTTAGCAACCAGAAGGCTCGTCCTGTGGACACATCACCTCGTTCTTCTTGTTCTCCCCAACAAACAGCGTGGCCACGTGAGCAGGCAGCACGTTTTCCAACAGCAGACGGTTTAGGTTCTCCCTCGTCTCGATCTCATCCTGTTCTGTGCGGTTCTTGTACTTCAGCAGGAAGTCCTGTCGAAAACAGTTCTCGTTCTGGGAAGCAGAGAGTGCAGTCAGAGTACGCGGACGTGCCCGATATGGAAAGTGGCTGTATTGTGATACCTGTTGAGATATGATGAGCATCGTGACCAGGAACAGGGCGATGTAAAGGCAGCTCATAATCTGAGGGTGCTTTAACAGCCCGATGCAGCTTATTATTCTCCTGAAGTCATCGTTTCTACAGCAGAGGACACAAGTACAGGTTTTACCTTGAATCCAAGAGATAATCACAGTGCAAATTTAACTAGAACTGAACACTTAATTATGAAAATAAAACGTATTTTATTTATCTTCAGCAATTTAGTCACAACAAATGAAACCCAAGCTTTTGTGCTTGCACAGCTGAGGAAACCTTCAGCTTTGTGTCTTACCCGCTGCAGTTACAGCTGGAGTTGATCTGAAAACAAAGGTTTTCTCCGTAGCCCACAAACAAACTCTTCTTGGCGTTGAGGATGATGATGTAGTACGCGGTGGACGCCACGGCGAGGAAGAGCACTTTGAGCTCGAAGCTCATACGGAGGAACGCTCCGCATGCGATGAGGGACAGGATGCAGCAGTATACAGAGTACTGAGGGATAGACGGAGAGCCAGGAAACGAGATTTGTGTTGAACACATCCAGCTGCTTCATAATGTGGTAGGTGACATCAGTTTACAAACTACCAATAAGAGTTATAACACAAACTACAACGTGATGATAGAACTGAACCATAAAATAAACACTAACCACTTCAATCACATCTGAGATGGTTGCAGGCAAGTTTCACAGCTCATGCATCTACTTACAACACCTTTGGCAAATATTTGTGATACTCTACAGCAGGGCTAGTCAACTAAACTGCTCAGGGGCCACAGTTACTGAAAGCCAGCAGCTCAGGGGCCGGACACCCAGCAAATAAAGTCATTATGTAACAGGGGTGTCTAAACATCATGTGGACCAAAACCTTGAAGATGAAAGGAGCCACGAGCCACAAAAATGTGAATAAAAATAATAATAAGCGTACATATTTTTAGTGATTTCTTTTAACTCAAACTAAACAATATTTTTGGAAAATGGACATAATTTACTAATTTTGGTGGAGAAGGTGTTCTAAATTGTTGTAGATCCAAAACATTAAAAGCTTCATAAACATCAACCTTTTACTAATTAATATTTTTATTTTCATTTATTTGATTTTATTGATTTATTTGCCAAAGGATTGTTTTTCTGTTAAAACCTAAAAATTATATAAAAGATGATCATCATTAAATTTGCAAAAGGTCTACATGTCTTAAGCCTATGGGCCAAAATTATACCATCCTTAAACTGCAAATGTGGGCCTCACAAAATCACTTCAAGGGCCACAAATGGCCCCCGGGCCACACTTTGGACACCCCTGATGTAAATAAACTAGTATTACAATGATCCATTACCTTTTTTAATTTGTTTATTTTGTTGCATTGAATCATAAATGCAATAAACAGAACAAAAACCAAACCCAAACACAGAACCAATTTTTTTTTTTCTAAATGAGGTCATTGGTGGGCCAGACTGAAGTCAACAGGAGCCCTGAAGTGGCCCACGGGCCACCAGCTGAATAGGCCTGCTCTGCAGCATGTGTCAAATTTGCCGAATTTGGCCCTTGTTAACATCTAATCTCCAAGATGATATTTTAAATGTAAAATATTTTCATTGCTTCTCATTTTGCTTAAAAAAACTGAGCATACTTCATTTAGTGCAGGTTTCTCATGCCATTCGGTCGTTTGAGGCCAAAAAAGCATTCGATTTTTTAGTAATCTTTGACTGATGTGGAAAAAGCAACAGCAAATATCAAATGGGACCAATTAAAATACTGTTGATCAACCTGCAACCACAAAAAAACATCAGGTATCTGGTCTGAGTTCATGCATCCACTGAAATTGGCCCGTGGCTTGGACCAAGTTTTTAATTCTGGCCCCCTTTTTCTAACTGAGTTTAACACTCGGGACTCACAGGCAGATAGAAGGGGTCATCCTTATCCCCATCGCTGTGTGTCTGGAAGCACTGCAAAGAAAAATAAAAGTTTGACTAAGGAGCGTTTTAAAAGTCTGGCCTCTGAAGAGCAGCGCAGCTCCAAATAACAGCAGAGCACACAACGGGCCTCGTCTTAAACTGTGAGCTCACCAGGCTGAACAGTGCCAAGACGATGATGACGGCAGTAGTGACGGTTGCCAGCGGGAGGCGCACACATGGCCGTTTCACCACCGCCTCCGATACAGCTGGCAGCCACTGACACCTTGACAGCTTATCTGGAAACACGCGCTGCAGAGAATAAAGAGGAAGGAGATATAAAAGATGAGAGGAATAAGGTGGATTCAAACATGTGAAAGGAAGCATGTGACTTTTGTTCAGTCAGTCATCTCTAGACATCATGTGTCAGTGACTGGCAGACGACTTCTTGGAGGAAGAGTCTGAAAAAACAATCACATTTCAGCTGCTTTGTCCATGAGGAGGATTTATAAAGCTGCAACTCTATGAACAAAGGGGGTAACCTTTCAAGTAAAACACCACAAACATGACTTATACTCTGTTTCAATAATTTTGCTATAGAATTAATTTAGTTACTGTAACATTTAGTTAGTAACTGAAAAACACCTTCTTTGTTTTCTTTGACTTACCAAACATCTGCCATTATAAAAGATTGACTTTTTTTCCTCCTTTCTTTGAGAGATTGAATATCTCCTGCCAGACTGCGTGCCAAAGTTTTAGACTGAGTTCATTTTATGTTGAGTGACAGTTTGGCCATTTAATGCTAAAAGTTTTAAATGATAAATGGACTGTACTTACATAGCACCTTTCTATCTTATCAAGACACTCAAAGCACTTTACACTACAATCTGTGTCCTCATTTACCCATTCATACAGCACTCTACTAGATCTATACAGAGAATAATCAGTGCTTTATCACATTCATACACCGATGGGACACACATCAGAGGCAATGAGTGTCTGGCCCAGGGACACTTCAGCATGCGACTGCTGGTGGAATCGAACCCCCAACTCCTGCATTGGAGGACGACTGCTCTAACCACTCAGCCACAGCTGCCCAAGCCACCATTTTAAGCAGTGCTTCATTTGAGCCAGATCCTGCCAGAACAAGATCTGGAAACTCATTTTGACTGGGTGTTTTCTGGCAACTGTTTGCTCAGATCCGGCAACTCAGATCTCCGCCAACAGCTTGCGCACACACTCCTGCCTATGTCCTGGCATGTCTCGCTGAGATGAAGTGTCATCCTTAATATGGCAAGCCAAGTGGCCCATTAATAGCCAAAAATGTGGTAAAAGTGGCTATTAATGAGCCACATGGCTTGCCATACATTACGCACAGCAGCGTCTCCAGACAGATCTGAGCGTGCACAACTGCTGACATGAACTCACGCATGCGTTTCAGACATAATAAATAAAAAAAGATTAGCTACAGTAAAAAAATTAAAAATAAATTAAATAAGAGAGAAATGTTTTATCATTCACATTAATCACGTATCAAAACAATGGTGCTAATTTGTCAAAATAACAGCGATCAAAATGTCAAAAAGACAGTCCAATTTACTTTCATTAAATAAATGGATGGATGGATTGTCCTTAGTTGGATAACCGAGAAGGCAGTGGCAATGGGATTTACCTGTCTAAATAAAGGTTGAAAAATTGAGGTTGGAGCAGCAGGAGCAACAACGTGCATGAATTAATTCAGTGGAGAAGAGTTCAAGTCAAATGTGAAGCGTGGGGGGGGGGGGGGGGGGGGGCTCGACAGAATCGGAGCTGCTCTATTCACACACAACCTGTTGTTGCTCTCTAAAATATTAATTGAATCAAGTGTTTACAAGTGTAGGTAAACATAGATGTTTAACAACCTGTTAAAATAGCAACACCAAAATGCAGGAAATAGCATCTACTTTATTCAAGAATTTAAGGGGAAGGAGGACCCACAAGCTCCCTCGACTTTCCCCGTTCCCCCCCTCCTCCTCCCCCCAGGCCTGCACCCACCTCCCCACACACTATTTGCGTTGCATCGATCAGTTTACAAATTAAGCCCTGGTTTTAAGCCAAGATATTGCACAATGAGTGTTTTGTGTATGACTCTCACCTCAAATTTTAGCTAAATAATTGTAAAATTGACTGAGTTGTAGTCATTTTTGGGACCTGTGCTGGCAAAATGGGTCAGAATGAGTCTAGGATGTAGTGCAAAAAAGTGAAATACAAACCGGATTCCAAGAAAGTTGGGACACTAAACAAATTGTGAATAAAAACTGAATGCAATGATGTGGAGATGGCAAATGTCAATATTTTATTTGTAATATAACATAGATGACAGATCAAAAGTTTAATCTGAGTAAATGTAACATTTTAAAGGAAAAATATGTTGATTCAAAATTTCACAGTGTCAACAAATCCCAAAAAAGTTGGGACAAGTAGCAATAAGTGTTAGTAAATAAGTGGCTGGAAAAAGGAAATTGAGCATATAACAAACAGCTGGAAGACCAATTAACACTAATTGTGTCAATTGACAACATGACTGGGTATAAAAAGAGCTTCTCAGAGTGTCAGTGTCTCTCAGAAGCCAAGATGGTAAGAGGATCACCAATTCCACCATTGTTGTGCAGAAAGATAGTGCAGCAATACCAGAATGGTGTTACCCAGCGTAAAATAGCAAAGACTTTTAAGTTATTATCATCAATCGTGCATAACATCATCAAAAGATTCAGAGAATCTGGAACAATCGCTGTGCGTAAGGGTCAAGGCCGTAAAACTCTACTGGATGCTCGTGATCTCCGGGCCCTTAAACGTCACTGCACCTCAAACAGGAATGCCACTGTCAAGGAAATAACAGAATGGGCTCAGGAATACTTCCAGAAAGCATTGTCAGTGAACACAATCCACCGTGCCATCCGCCGTTGCCAGCTGAAACTCTACAGTGCAAAGAGGAAGCCATTTCTAAGCAAGCTCCACAAGCTCAGACGTTTGCACTGGGCCAGGGGTCATTTAAAATGGAGTGTGGCAAAATGGAAGACTGTTCTGTGGTCAGATGAGTCACGATTTGAAGTTCTTTATGGAACACTGGGACGCCATGTCATCCGGACCAGAGAGGACAAGGATAGCCCAAGTTGTTATCAACGCTCCGTTCAGAAGCCTGCATCACTGATGGTATGGGGTTGCATGAGCGCTTGTGGCATGGGCAGCTTGCATGTCTGGAAAGGCACCATTAATGCAGAGAACTATGTTCAGGTTCTAGAACAACATATGCTCCCATCTAGACGTCATCTCTTTCAGGGAAGACCCTGCATTTTTCAACACGATAATGCCAGACCACATTCTGCAGCAATCACAACATCATGGCTACGTAGGAGAAGGAACCGGGTACTGAAATGGCCAGCCTGCAGTCCAGATCTTTTACCTATAGAGAACATTTGGCGCATCATAAAGAGGAAGGTGCAACAAAGAAGGCCCAAGACGATTGAACAGTTAAGAGGCCTGTATTAGACATGAATGGGAGAGCATTCCTATTTTTAAACTTGCGAAACTGGTCTCCTCTGTCCCCAGACATCTGTTGAGTGTTGTAAGAAGAAGGGGGGATGCCACACAGTGGTAAAAATGGACTTGTCCCAACTTTTTGGGGATTTGGAAACAACAGATTTTTCCCTTAAAATGATACATTCTCTCAGTTTAAACTTTTGATCTGTGATTTGAGTTCTATTCTGAATAAAATATTAGATGTTGGCACCTCCACATCATTGCATTCAGTTTTTATTTACAATTTGCTTAGTGTCCCAACTTTTTTGGAATCCGGTTTGTAATTAACTTTTGTTGTAACTGAGATGCGTAAAAATTAGTTGATAAAGACACTGTCTAACAATTCTGGTAACTAACATAGCATATAATCATACTAATATACATTTAAATTGAAGAGTTCTAACAGGTCTAACAGGCTTGAGAAATAATCAATTATCTTAAAAATTATTATTATTATTTTAATTTTAAAAAAAAATTCTGCTGGCTGCTTTAGCACCAGGAAATCCCTTCGTAATAAAGTCCAGTGTCATATTTAGGCATTTATGTCTTTTTGTTTGGTACATACAACATTTTGGGTTTGTCCGCAACGAGCGTAATCTCCGCAAATTACGGGAGTTGACTGCATTTTACAAACAGACCGGCACACAAACAGGTAATTAAGTATGTAAACATTTAAAGAATGACAGTGATTATAAACTATTTGTATTCTTGGCCTTTCTTCTTATTCTTATTATTATTATACAGCATAAACTTGTCTGGCCTTAATACAAGCAGAACAACCTGAAATGTTTCTCAAATTAATTTCAACTCCTGAGAGGATTTTTTTATTTATCTGTATAAACCCAGATGCTGACAAGGTCTAAATGGAAAATTGAACTAAAAGGCTTAACATACTGACCGGCAGGTGACCTGCAAAACAGATGACCAGGGTCAGCAGCAGCACACACACCAACACCCCAAACGTCGTCCCCAACATCTGTCGACTGATGGGGACAAAAAACAAGTGTCAAAACCAGTCTCCTGCCATTTTTCTTAAACCGTGGCTCTTCATAGCTTTTTACGTGATATTATAGTTGTTAATTCTCAGAGCAAAGAAAACAGAACGCCTTTGTTTCCCATTTTGGCCCAATGAGAGTAAAACAAACATTTGAATAACAGAATTTGGGTTCTACTTACTCCTTTGTGACAAACAGCTGAACCACAAAGATGCAGAAGAAGATGAAGGTTGCACAGCCCACATAGTGTTTGAACATGGGCAAGTCCAGAGATCGGTACTTGAACGAGAAAAGGCAGAATGTGGCTCAACCTCTTCACAAGTAAAAAAATAACGGAGTGGAAACCTATGCAATGCAAAAAAACCTGTCGGTGTCAAACCAACCTGCTTTTCCAGATCCTTTTTGGGAAAGCACAAAGCTAAACTGCCACTTTCTTCAGATGTGGACCACTGCCTGTATGAAAGGGAAGAAGGGCATGGAAAGACAAGGATGATTACAAGAAAAAAAGAACAAAGAAAAGAAATGGAATATAACTTTAAAATCTGATTTGTGGTTGAGTTTATGGATAAATCACCCAAACTGGAGTTTGTTACACTTGTGACCGTGTAAACCGTTAGTGGCACAACATATTTTAGACCGCAGTGAATCGACACGCAGACAGGTAACACTGAATCATCCATCATCTTTACCTGCTTCTTCCTTTGCAGGCCGCGGGGGTCACTGGTGCCCATATCCAGCAGTCACTGTGAGAGGCAGGGGACACCCTGGACAGGTCTCCAGTCCATCACAGGGACAAATAGAGACAAACAACCATTCACTCTCTCGCTCACACCTAGGGACAATTTAGAGTCACCAATCAGCCTAACATGCATGTTTTTGGTCTGTGGGAGGAAACTGGAGTGCCTGGCGAAAACCACGCATGCACGGAGAGAACATGCAAACTCCAGCCAGAAAGACCCCCCGGCAGGATTTGAACCGGGCTGGCCTGCTCGCTGAGAGGTGGCAGCTATAACAACTGTGCCACCGTGCTGCAACACTGAATCATAAATCCTGTTCATCTGAAAAAGTTTATTTTGAACCTTTTACAGTTAAATTCTTGTGCTACACCCTAAAGACAATGTAATGTGTTAAAAGGACTTAGATTCATATGTTTGCATTTTTCAAACTTGTACAAGACAATTTATTTGCAACAATGTTCAGTCAGGTCATCTGGACAGTTTCTTGTTCTTTTTTTTGCGGAGATTAGGGCTGGACCATATCATATCGTTCACAATAATACCGGTAAAAAATGCTTGCCCGGGCAAATAAATGATATCATGATATAATTTCATGACGTAATCCGTCAGGGCGCCCCGCTTCGTTAACAGAACCTAGCGTGCCGAACGACCAAACCGAACTGCACACCCCCCACTCCACCTGTCGGTACTGGTGTAGCGCTAATTAGTTGTGCACAATACTAGCTAGCTAAAAAACTAAAAACAAACTACGTGCGGCTCAGCTGTCGCTCCATCCAGCTCTAAACTGCAGGTACAGACAACTCAACTGTCTCTCCCTCCCCTGCACTTCACTCTGAGCTGCCGGTGTGGGCGCAGCTCGGATGCGTCTCCCTCCTCTCTAAACGGTCGGTACAAATACGCACAGCCAGTCCATCCATGGACGAAGAACAGAGTCAGGTGATCAGAGACAGAGCATCAGAGAAATGAATAATTCCTGCAGGAGCAGAGGAAGCTGAAACACCACAAGCTTCAGGGTCAGCTGATCACCTTGTTACAAGTTCTGGAAGTTATAGCTCATTTAAAGGAAAGGTATATTTTGTGCTCAACAGATATTAAGCTTTCATTTTATTTAGTTATTTTGGGAAACTTCACCTGCACTTTAGTTTTTGAGGTGGATTTATTGATCTATATTTTGTGCAAACGTTTTCAATCTAAATAACAGAAGGATAATTTTTATTTTTATACTTCGAGACTGAATACTTTACTAAATAAAGTAATTTCAGTCAAATTAACCCTTGTTGTTTTTTATTTTTATATAATACTGCAAAGCAATGTGTTAGATTTCTTTTTTTTTTTCTTTTTGTTTGGTTATATCACAAAATTTATCGCCATCGTCAGAATGCACTGAAATATCACAATATAATATTTTAGCCATATCGCCCACCCCTAGCTGAGATGTTTCGTCCTTCATCCAAAGGATTTCTTCATTCTGAGGAGCCACCAAACAAACTGATTCCCATAAACAGCACACTCCCAGAGTGGAAAAAAAAAAAAACAGTTTACTAGTGCTAAGGTGGCCTTCGGGGCCTATCCTCTCCCCCATCAACTTCTCTGAGACAGTCATGCCAAAGCGGTTAAAAACATCAAAGTCCATGCTCAATAAGCCAGGTATAAAATCCAACAATGTTCAGTCAGGTCATGTGGATGGTTTCTTTTTTTATTTATTTTTATTTTATTTTATTTTATTGTTTCCACTATGGAGTGTGCCATTTGTGGGAATCAGTTTTTTTGGTGGCTCATCACATGGAAGAAGTCATTTTGATGAAGGACGAAACGTCTCGGCAAAAAAAAAAAAAAAAACATCCAGATGACCCGACAACATTGTTGTATTTCTACCTGGATTATTGAGCATGTATTATTTATTTGCCACTTTTTGCATCTGGTACCAATAGGTTCATGTTTTTGACCATCCACCTCATTATTTTATCACAAAAGGTACTTTTGCACAAAAAAAAATAATAATAATTTTTAAAGGCTAGGCAAATTCAGGCCTTCAGATCAGCGGAGAAACAGAATTCATGGATTTTTCAGCATTTCATTTTTATTCATGTCATGTTATTTAAGTGGGTCTTTATTTCCCTGTCGACTGCAGATTTATATTCACATCTGAAGACAGTTTTCACCATCACTGAGGGAATTTCACATGCAAGTAATCTTCCACAAATGTAATGTAGAGAAACTGCATGAAGACATCTGCAGTGAGCAGCCAACAAGAACTAGAATGGGTCATTTTCCAGTGAATACCTGCAGTCATCTTACAGCAGCAGGAATAAATCGCTTTTCATGCACAGCCTCTGATTTAATGAAGCGGCCTGTGTGCAATCTACGAGAATAAAAACAGCAAATCACCAAACGGAGCTAGATAACAGAGTGGAATGCAGAGGTCAGTCGTGTTTAGTGTTTTCTCTAACATCACAGGGGCAAATTAATCTCACAGCTCACATGTTCAGCAGCTAAATACATCAGACTGATTAATGCAGCCGTCTAAAGCGCGAGCCTTGATCTTCTCAAATCTGAGCATTTCTCAAACAAATGCAATACAGACAATTTCTTTGGTCCTAATATTTTTGTTTTATGTTGCTAAATAGATAGACCTTGGATATGCTGTACAAGTGAATCAAAATAATAAACTACAAACTGTCAAAACTATACTCTGCAGTTAAATAGTGCATATAGAAAATAAGTTTCTGGGGAAAAAACTAAACAGATGAGATAATTCTCTATAGCATATCTGCTCTGTGGTATCAAAGTTCAACACAAACTAAACATTAGCAAATCTGTGAACTAAATTTATCTCTGAATCAACTCCACACACAACAGAGGACATTAATAAAGGACGTGATCTGACCCGTAATCAAATAGAGGTTCAGAGCTGCTGTTGGTTCACTGAAGCTTGTGGCACAGGATGCTGTCGGTGCAGTGACAGAAGAACTGAGCGTTGGGTATTAATATACAAAACAACAAACAATGCTTTTAGGAGATTAACGTAAACATTAGTTTATTGTATCAGAGTTGTTGTAACAATTCTGACTGAAGCGAAGGGATGTTTGAATCAAAACATGAACCAGAGACTCGACCACTCCCTTAAACCTAAACTAAAGCTGCTTTATGACATTCTTGTCATAAAGACTTGTACAATTTTCACACATACAAACTAACAATGACTAAATATTAAAGGTCTACCATTCTTTAAAGAAATGCATATCACCTGCCTTTTGAGCCAGTTTTAAACTAAATTCATACTATGCCGAGAAGGGACCACGGTGCAGGTATTTGGGTCAAATCTTATAAATGACATGACACACCATCTCATGAGATATTGGGAGATCTCACTAAAATGTGTTAGCCTGTGCGTTGAGAACGACTTTCAGCTATTACTTTACCAAAATTAGCTCAATACCTGTAAAATTGACTGAGTTACAGCCATTTTGTTTTTCCAAAAGTCAGCTGACTGTGACGGTCATCTTGAACAGTGTTGACTCCAAAGTCCAATCATTTATTCAGCCATTTCTTTCTGAAAGTTTAACTAAAATCCATCCACTGGTTTAAGGAATATTTTGCAAAAAGGCAGACAAGCAAACACGCACAAACATGGGCAAAAACATTTTCGACCTCTGATGGCACGTGAGCTCAACAAAATAAAGAGAACATGCATTATGTGATTCTTTGCAGATTTAGTTGTGTAATTCCAAAGTTCATGCTCAATAATCCAGGTAAAACTCCAGCAATGTTCATTTAGGTCATCTGGATGGTTTATTTATTTTTTTTGCTGAGAGGTTTCATCCTTTATCCAAAGGACTTCTTCAGTCTCAGGAGCTACCATCAAACAGAGTTCCACAAACAGCACACTCCCATAGTGGAAAAAAAACCCTCAGTCTGTTGGTGGCTCCTCAGATTGAAGAAGTCCTTCAGATGAAGGACGAAACGTTGCAGAAAAAAAAAAACATCCAGATGACATGACTGAACATTGTTAGTTGTGTAATTTTTTTCCCACACTTTTGCTTTTACTAATTTCTGACAGCGATACAGCTGAAGCCCGCATTAGTCTGAAACTGGACTTACTTGCTGCTGAGCTCATCTATGGTAGTGGTCATCTCGTTGTGCAGCTCCTCATCAAACTTGCTCTTCTGGGATTTTATCCTGCACCAGAGAGCACAGACACAATTAGGAAGAGGCAGCCGGACAGACTTGGAGACACACGGCTTGATTCGAACAGATGCTGGAAAACCAGATCTGCTATGTGGGTTATTTAGGAGGTCCATTTTAGCTGTGCTTAGAGGCATGGCCCTGCCAGACAGAGCATTAGTGAGGAAAGAGAAAGACGATTTGTTGCCTGTGATAAAGTTAAAAAGAGGGGTATGTGCTGGGTGCATAACGGTGTTACACCATGCCTCCATGATTCGGTGAGGGGGTTTCTGCCGTGCTTCTGTTTGGAAAGCCCCTATTCATTTAGGAAGGAAACAAGAGTTGCAGATAGTTTTACACAAGCCCAGGTTGAGGGTGTTAAAAGGAGGGTGTCAGTCCAGTATTACCATCAGGTTCTGCCCCGTTAAGGTCCTGTCACACCAACGTTTTAGAGAACATATGACGTTTGTAAATTTTGTTCAACACTATGGCATACGTTGAAGATGGAATAAAAAATCAACTAGAAGCCTATTTTAGATGGATACATACTGTTTTGCTAACAAGTTGAACAAATATATAAGCAACGAGTAACTTATCCATAACTTGTCCCTAGCTTATTCATAACTTATACAAGCATTGACAGCGTTTTTTGACTTGTGCAGAGCTTATGATCAACGTTGATATAACTTATACAGAGCAGGTTGGAGCAGATTGTGACAAGGGCAGCCGTCACACAGTCATGTTTAGCATCAGAGTATGAAAAATAAAAGGGAAACACGCTGAAGTCATATAAAGTAGGTGGAAGTGTTGAATAAGTTATCAACACGCTGATATAAAATGGCACAAGTTTCTCAAACACCAATGGCAGCTAAATATTTTGCACATGACCACAATTTTTAATGTATGCAGATGTTCACACACATTACCTGCAAGTTACTCATAAGTTGACATACATCGAAAACTAGCTGCGAGCATTTGAGTCACTTATTTCTAACCTACTAACAACTTATTGTACTTTTAACATATCTGTACCTTATAGCAGACATTTCCATGACATGTTGTAATACACTGCCTGGACAAAAAAAAGTCGCCACCAAAAAAAAGGTCACACTAATATTTTGTTGGACCGCCTTTAGCTTTGATTACGGCATGCATTCACTGTGGCATTTTTTGATAAGCTTCTGTAATGTCACAAGATCTATTTCCATCCAGTATTGCAGTAATTTTTCATCAAGATCTTGCATTGATGACTAGGCACTAGGCATGATGGGTGCATCACTTCACCTGCCTCTCTTCTTACCCTGATGCACCCATCACTCTGAAACAGAGTAAATCTGGACTCATCAGACCACATGACCTTCTTCCATTGCTCCAGAGTCCAATCTTTATGCTCCCTAGCAAATTGAAGCCTTTTTTTCCAGTTAGCCTCACTGATTAGTGGTTTTCTTAAGGCTACACAGCTGTTCAGTCCCAATTCCTTGAGTTCCCTTCGCATTGTGTGTGTGGAAATGCTCTTACTTTCACTATTGAACATAGCCCTGAGTGCTACTGTTGCTTTTGTTCGTTTAAGTGATCACTGATCACGATCATTCAGGATTTTTTTCCGGCCACATTTCTTCCTTGAAGACGATAGGTCCTCACTATCTTTCCAGTTTTTATTAATGCGTTAAACAGTTCTTAACCCAATTTTAGTAGTTTCTGCAATCTCTTTAGATGTTTTCTCTGCTTGATGCCAATGATTTGACACTTCTCAAACAGACTGACATCTTTTCCATGACCACACGATGTGTCTTTTGACATGGTTGTTTAAGAAATGAGATGCAACTCATTGCATCAGTTAGGGTTAAATAACTTGTTGCCAGCTGAAAGATAATCATCCATGCAATAATCATCCAATAGGAGGCTCGTACCTATTTGCTTAGTTAAATCCATGTGGCAACATTTTTTTGGGGGCCAGGCAGTGTATCTGTGCCTTAAAGTGTTCATGTTCTGGATCCCAAAAGGGAACACACCTAGGTGTGTGTGAAAGAATAGCTTTGTTAAAATTAGGTCCAACGTTCTTTGCTTTTATTATTTCTTTGGTTTTACATTAATAAAGAGTGCACAATTGGCTGACTCACGTTCTTTGCATGCTGACAGTCATTACAGTATATTGACTATTGTAAAGCTGATGACCCTAGAACTTACGGAAAGTGTTTATAACTTACAGCTAGCATATTTGCCAGTGTTTTGGGATTTAGAGATATAACGATGAGCAACTAATCACTCCTGCTGGATCCATGATGTGCAGAGGTCCATAACTACCACCACAGAAATGGAGGATGAGATGGAGGATTTTGCTACAGCTTCCTTGATCACAGATTTGTTTGTTTTCTTTTGAGGCATGTTGATAAATGCAAAACTGGACTGACTGACTGACTGACTGGGGGTGCAGAGAGCTGCTATTTTATATTTAATGTCATGTTTAGCCCTGTGATGGACTGGAGACCTGTCCAGAGTGTCCCCCGCCTCTTGCTGGATATGGGCACCAGTGACCCCCGTAACCCAAAAAGGAAGAAGCGGGTAAAAGACGATAGATGGATGAATGGATAGATGGATAGATGGATGGATGGATGGATGAATGGATGGATGGATGGATGTTATGTTAATTGTAGCAATTTGCTCCAACAAGCCATTCACAAGTTTGGCATAAAACAAATGTTGCGCAAAAGCTCTTCACAAGTCAAGGTGCTCATAGGTTAGAAATAAGTTATGCACACGTGCACAATTGCCAGGTGGTTTCCGACACATGTCAGCTTATGAATAGCAAACATAACGAGTGTGAACTTATGAATAACTTACCTGTCGTGTACCTGTAACTTAAGAGCAACACGTCGGCAAATGCTAAAAATATGGTGCATGAACAAAGTTTTGGGCTGGCCGTCGTATATCGACATGCTGATGACTTATTAAAAACTTGCACCTAACTTATATGACTTACACCAGAGCGTTTGTCTTTTTATCTTTTAATTCATTGGCATACGCTGATGCTTTACGGCACTGTGTGACGAGGCCTTTAGAAAGAGTTAGCAATTAGTAGAGATGAGGAGTTAAGTATCAAGACAGCAGTGATCTCCACCAAGACAGTAGTTCTCATTTGGAGAAAACACCACAGAAACTCAGGGGTAAATAATTTGTCAAATTGTGCAATTTGCTCTTGTTTTTACTAATGAATTAACACAATTTGTCTAATAGTTTCTATAAGCAATCAGCCAAAATGTTGAGAACTACTGAACTGACAGGGATGAAGATCTTGTGGGTCATAAAGGCCCCACTCACTTATTGCTGCTGAGTGGAGGTGAGGACAAGGGGTATGGCTCTTCAAGTGACTCATCAAAGCTGTCAGGGTTCAACAGTAAAAAAAAAAAAAAAACAACAACAACAAAAATTTATCACAAGACAGCAGCTGGCAGCCAGCAGACACAAATATGGTATAGCTGTGAAATCTTAGCTGAAATCACATGCTTCTCAGGCAGAGGGGAGCAATCGCTTAATCAAGGACAACAATTTCTGCCATGCCATGTCATCAAGTTAGAGTGAGTCCACCTCGTTCCACTGTCACTGCAGTTTCAGTTTCAGGCATGTTCACCAGGCCTTGCTTTGGCTTTACAAGATTATGAATACATGAATGAAATTAAAGGCTCTCAAGATAAAACATGTCTGAATATGCACCGGGCAAAAAGCTTTTAGGAGCGTATTTTATTTGTATGGGTGAGTTCTGCTCAGTCATCATAGATTTAAATAATTTAGTTTTCTTATGGCAAATACCTGGCAGGCAAAAATAATTCAGAACAAATAATTTGTTGATAAATTGATTAAAGCAACAGATCTATTTTTATGACTGCCAATCTGCACCTACAATTGATGCACAGTAGTCCATTGCTACTTCGCGGTTCGACTTTTGCAGCCTCGTTCTTTTGCGTTTTTTCTAATTAAGATTGGACATGACACACAACTGGCTGATTGATGGCTGTGCCACACAAGCGGCATGGATTGTTTATTTAAAATAAATTATTTGAAATTATTTAGTGCCTGCTAAATCATTAGATGCAGGGAGAAACTCCTTCCTGCAGCCTGTCATGATCTCCGCTCTCTGCCATCTGCGGCTCTCTGCCACGCCCACATTTCTCTTCCATGCTGAAACGGCTTCATGAAGGGTTAATCCTTTCCTGTCCAGCTGCACCAATCCACTTTTGTCTTCTAACTTAAAATTCAATGTATGTCACATCATAAAATTGTTACAATCACAAAATATAAAAGTGTTAAAAATTATGTTTAATTATTTTAGAACTTCTATGTTCAGTTGTTACAGTGTAATTGGTGAAGAAGTACATTTCTGCTCTGTGCTGCTTCTGCATGAAGGGTTAACACTTTGTTGTCCTGCTGCACCTGTCTACAATTTAAATTTAAATACTGTAATATTTTAAATAAACAATCCATGCTGTATGGATTGTTTATTTAAAATATTACAGTATTTAAATTTAAATTGATTATTTACAAAGAAGGAGGGAGATTGGGAGATGAGGAGTGTGACTGAAGCAGTTAAGTTTGCTGGCAGAGAGTGGAGATCATGACATGCTGTGCTCTTTTAGAACATTTACAGTATTTAGAGTATTATATACTAAAATAAACTACTACTTACTACTACTATTTGTACTACTATCCCTACTTTGCGGTACGTGTTGAACGACTACATAATTTTTAAACTCGACATTAACATAACAAAACTTGAGTAGAACTCAAGTAGTTGATGACATCATAGGACTGCAAGATGAAAAAATAAATAACAAATAAAACTGCAAAAAAACGTAATTTATTATTTACAAAAAAAAAAAAAAAAAAAAGACCAACAAAACATTGGGAGAGTATATTATGCTCCTACCATTTATCATACTGAAAATAAGTCACAGGAAAACCAAAACTATTAGTTATTATTATTAATTTGAATTAGAATTTATTGATTTGAAGCTCTCGACCTTGACCTCTCTAAGTGGCTTTAAGAATCTGTTGGACTCCTGGCAGGGACCAATGCTGACATGTTCCTGTTTTTAGTTTTCTACATCTACCTTAGAATCTAGCTGTTTTTTGTTACTTTTCTTTTTTTTTGCCATCCTATTTATTAAAAAATAAATAAATCTGTATGACTTTTTATAACTGTTTATTGTTGTCGCTGTTGTCCATTGTTGTCATCATTCTTTGTTGAAATCAGGTCTCTCTTGTAAATGAGTCCTCGAGGCTCAATGGGATTAACCTGTCTAAATAAAGGTTGAATGAATTATTATTAAGCTGCAAAAGTGAAAGAAATAGCACGTCAAAAACGAAGCTAAAAACAGTGGGGAGAACGAACACCCCACACCACCGCCAGCTGTGGTGCACATTAGGTTTAGAGATTAATATGTTTATAGGTTTTTTATAGGTTTAGAGATTAATATTTTTTGCATTTAGTTTGTGAAACAAGGTCAGAAGGAAGCTGATTCTGGTTTGGTCATTGGACCCGGTGTTACACCATATTCTGTGACCTGCAACAGTGCATGCAACACCGCCCCCTACGGTCACAATATACGGTGGTCACAGAATATGGTATAACACCGGTTCGCAACGAGCTCCAAACAGTCAGGAAGTTGATTCATTTTCTGTTTCCTTACGGTGGTTGAACCAGAAGATTCATCTTTATTGAAATATTTCCATACTATTGATGCATTTCTACCTGTTTGCCAAGACTGGGCCTGCTCCGCTCAGTCCATCTGCTGGGAGGAATCCATTTGGTAGCTTCTACTAGTAGCCCGGTGCGGATCACGTGACACAATGACGTCACTGCGAACACTCGACGTGAAATTTAAAAACTCGATAGATGACCTAGGAATCGACCTGTCGATTACTCGAGTAGTCTGTTAAAGCCCTACTTCGCGGTTTTTCACTTATCGTGAGGGAGCGTGGTCCCAAACCCCCGCGATAAACAAGGGACTACTGTATTTGATGGTTGAAACTAACCCTTTTATGGTTCTTTTCTGCTGCAGAAGTTGCAAACATAACATTTTTTTAAATAAAAACAGATAATTATACATTACACTTCTTCAGGGGATCTGTACAAATAAGTTTAAACAGTAAGGTTATCATTTACCTCTTCTGTTATGTGTCTTGTTTATACATAAAGATGCTTCAACACCTGAAACCTTATAAAAAGTTATTAAAGTACAATATCTACATTAAGAACTATGTGGGATTTTAGCACCATTTAATAGGCATGGTGTTTAGGTGTAAATATTATGACTTTTAAAAGTCAAAAAATTAACCCAAAAGATTTTGTTTACGTTATTGTAATTGCCATGTGAACTTGTTCAAATTAGAGCAGTTTTTAAAAAAGTTTAGCTGCAGGTTTCTTATAGTTATTGTTCTTGGTGTGGATAGCCTTGAAAACAAACAAGCTGTCTGTAAGCTCAAAGTAAATCGCTGCACAAAAATACAGCAGATGCCACGTGCCCTGTGCATGGAGTAGATCCACTGACTGTTTTGGGTTGTGAGTATAAGTCTGTGCTTGGACTATATGTCAGTACTTTAAACTGTCTGTTGTATTTTTTTAATCATTTCCAAGCATGCCATTTTGAATGGCCTGCTGCTTCCTGCTGAGACGGGGATGCTGCTGTAGAGAAGTGCTGCTGCCATACGGAAGGTGTGTTGTAAATGTTTATTTATATTAGTGCCAAAATGTAGGTTCATCTGTTATTTTATTTTGTGGGTCCACAAACCTGCCTCACAAGATAAATCCTAAATCAGTGTCAGCATACATTATTATAATCTTCACCTCTAATGCTAAACATCTGCAATAATATGCCAATAAAAACTATATCATCGTTATAATGTTTTTTGTTATACAATATTAGTTATTTTTAAAGATGTGACGGTAAAAGGAGTTCAGGCTTTAAAAACAAGCTAACTTAGCTGGTAAATATGGTAAAAACGGTTCTTCTCATCCTGAATATTTCATTGCATTGTTGATTTTGTGCTAACCTGCATATGACAAATAAATAATCAAAATACTGCTGGTAAACGCTTGTGAAACATTCCTCTCAACATGTTACTGAGTAACCAGATAGTGTCCAGGTTGAGTCAGTGATTAAAAAAGGTGCTACTTTTAGCAACTCGGACTTTTCTTACCTATCAGTGATCTTCGTGCTTTGAGTCGGTCGTAAAGGAATGTCCTGGAAAGCAAAAAATAAGAAGATATAAATAAACTACCTGTATTATTATTTTTGTTACTAAAATAGGAGCACTGAGGTACACACCAATCAAAATTTAAGTTGTCAAAATGCTAAAATATTTTTAGTAAATAAAAAAAACACACCAAAGATGATAGTTTTTAAATGAATTTAAAATGTTGATATCAGCTTGAAATCTAAAACCCAACTTAATTTTCATAATATTCCGTGTTTTAATAGTAGAAAGACACATTGCATCGAACATCACAGTGATTACTTTTTCATTTACTATTTAACTTAAAAGACATGATCAAATTTGTCCGGAATAGCTGATATGATGAAATGTGAATCATTTTGTTCTTTCGGTTGTTCCCTCCGTAGGCGTCAGTCACCACAGTAAGCGAACTAGCATGAATAATTTAATATTTTTACGCTAGATGCCCTTTCTAAGTTAGTAAGTAAGTAAGTAAACTTTATTCGTATAAAATTTTTCAAAGATAAAATCACAAAGTGCTTTACAGAAATACAAAATACAGGCTTAAAATAAAACAAAAACAATAACAACAGCTGATAAAAACAGTAAGTAGAACATTTAACTAAAAGCTTGTCTGAATAAAAGTGTCTTAAGCTGCTTTTTAAAGTAATCAATGGAGACGGCCACGTGAAGAGACAGGGGCACAACCTGACACAACCTGGGCTCGAAACTGCAGCAGGATTACAAGACCGCGGCACTGACCACCGAGCTACTGCAGCCGAAAATGTTTTGAATCCTGTCATATTTTTTATTTTGATGGCAAATACAAGTGACATAAAGAACCAATAACTAAAGAGCAGCCAGCTCACCTTGAAGCGTGTCTTTCCATTAACGATGTTGTCTGTTGAAAAGCCCTCTCGGCTCTGAAGGTGGGCAAAAGGTTTCACGGCACCCCAGGATTCAAGGTAGCGGGTCATACGCACAGATGCCCTCATCTTCAGACCGTCATTCACTCGAGGTTTAGCTGTGTTTCGGGTGTTCAGGGATGGATCCTTGGACTTTATATGAAGAAACAAACATTTTATTATGCGTTTACTATGGAAAAAGGTAAGTCTACTGTCTTCATATGTTCCACATCATACAGATTACTAGCAAATATTCAGCAATAACATGAAGATTTGGAAGAAAAAAAAAAGTCAGACTGACTTGTATTTTGAGAAGATTGTTCAAAGTCCTCGAGCACGAGTGATCAAGAAATCACTTTTAATTTAAGGCTTATACTAATTTATGTTTGTAAATTCTGAAACTAATAAAGATGTTTATCTGTATTTCCCAACCAGAAAAAAATTAAAGGCAACCAATATGTTGGGTGAAAAAGCAGCTTCATTTATGAAGTATTTTGGCAAAAAAAAAAAAATTGTATAAGTTTAGCATTTAGTCTACAGCCCAAAACCAATTTTTTATTTTATTCTTTTTAAACGTATGTAGGACAGTGCTCTTTCATTACAAATAAAAATACAAACAAATATTTGCTAAAGAAACTATTTTACTTTTTGGTCTTAAAAATAAATAAAAAAATAAACAGACTTACCCTTGGATCAATCACTAGATACGTGCGGACGTTTAGTTCATTGAGGTAAGGGTCTCTGAGGTGTCCGTCGCCCTCTTCTACTTCATAAGCCTTATTCAGGTGCTTCAGGGTTGCCTCTGTGATGTGGACACGGCTAACCAGGTGAAAGAAAGGAATAATAAAATATCCATCATGGTATTTAATTTATCAGTCAGTGGAACCAATCATTTATTTAACCAGTCCAAAGTGGAAAACAGTCATAAATTAATGTGGACAACAGTTATGAACACGTGTTTATTGCACACTTTCACCCTGATTGTTGTACAAGTATCACTAAAATAACAGCAAATACATGGTCTTTAAATTATACAAGTGGCTGTTTCACACAAACGTGTAAAACAGAAATTTATCAAATGTAGGCACCAAGCTTGTTTTGCTCTGAAAGTGACTAAAAAGTCAAATTTTCAGATTTTCTTGTAACAATGAAGATATTAAAGTATGTGAGTGAGAGCAGCTTTGTTGAAAATTTGACCATGATAGGAAGAAGTATATGAAAATGCAAACAATTTGAGAATAACAGTTCTGAAGCCCCAGCTGCAGCCCCGTCTCCGGTCCCTGGTTCCCCAGCTGCAGCCCCGGTCCCTGGTTCTCCAGCTGCAGCCCCGGTCCCTGGTTCTCCAGCTGCAGCCCTGGTCCCTGGTTCTTCAGCTGCAGCTCTGGCTCCATCAGCGGCTGCAGATCTGGACCACAGCTCAACTGCGATCCTCGCTCCTAGCCTGCCCGAGTTCATCGCTCCTGGCTCTTCGGCTGAGGTCCTCGTCCCTGACCTGCCTGAAGAGGTCTCCGTCCCTGGGCCGATCGCAGAAAATCCCGGCCTGCCTGAGGTCCTGGATCCCGGCTCAACCGCGAAGATCCTGGCTCGCCTGAGGTCTTCCTTCCTGGCTTGTAGGCTGAGGTCTTCGCCACTGACCCGACCGCAGAAGATCCTGGCCCGCCTGCAGAGGTCTTCGTCTCTGGCCCGCCTGCAGAGGTCTTCGTCCCTGGCCCGCCTGGGGTCCTAGGTTTTTGTGTTTGTTTGGGGTTGCTCAGGGTTTGTTCCTGTCAGTTTTTTGTTCTTTTGGTCCTCTGTGTTTCTCTGTCTGGGTCCGTCCTGTTTTTCATCCTAATGGATGTAACCTCGTCCTTGAGATGTCAGGAGCCATCCCTTGAGTGGGGGGTACTGTAGGATTTCTGGGTTTTGTCCTGTCTCTATCTGTTTCCTCATGCTTCCAGCTCTCAGTGTTTTCCCTCGTGTTCAGCTCGCCTCACCTGTGTCTAATGTTAATCACCGCAGGTGGCTGGCATTATCCCATCAGCGTGTGTCTATATATTCAGTTCACTGGTGTCTTGTCTTTGTCCCGGGATTGTTCTTATAGTGTGTAGCTGCCTTCCATCCTGTGTCCAGTCATTTGTGAGTACGCTGCCCCGTCCACTTCAGTTTTGTTTTTATAAAATAAATACTTTGATTTTTCCACGTGCCTCCCGTCATCCTCCTGCAATTGGGTTGAACATTCCTGACGGCCGATTATGACAGTTTCATGGTAAATAGAATGTGAACTAATTTATATGGAATTGTTTAGTTCATGTTGAAATGTAAACTTGCACAGCACATGTTGGGCACTTTAGTTTATTCCCAGTTATAGTAAGCAAGTATGAATCTCGGTTTTTGTACGGCAATGTAACAACTCTATACAAATAATTATTCAAGGTATGTGACAAATATAAGTATACAAGTAAAAATACTCACCCTGGAACTCCTCCTGACTCCATATGATTGGCCAGAGTGACATCATGCGACCATACATCAAACTGCCACTTCCGAAGGCCGATCACACCGCAGAGCACGTTGCCTGAGTGAACGCCTACTCTCATGTTGATATCTACCCCTGTGGCTTCCCGCACCTGCCTAAAAAAGTATTGAGCAACAATAAAGATTGCTATTGTGTACTAATATTACATATCTATGCCACAGTGGCACAATTACTATACGGTTTACCGTGCTTTCCATGTGTCTATGTGAAGCCTTGTTGAATGTAAATCAATAACAAGAAGAGAAGTAAAATTGTGTATACCATACTCTGTGGTGCAAACAAATTTAAAATGAACTTTTATAAATAAAAGGGTTTTCTCTTCACAATTCAGCAGTATAACAAACACATATCAATGAATTACTCTTTTAATATATGGTCACACAACTAGAGAGGCACCGATCCGATATTAATATCAGTATCGGTCCCGATATTGAAAAAAATCTAGATCGGGTATTGGTGACAATGTGACCAATCGATAAGGGCAGATCTATTCAGTCTAATTCTATGCTTTGTGCTCCGAGTGACGTCACACGCTAGTGAACTGGCCGCACAGATTGTTTTCAAAATGGAGCGAGCGAAGGGATCAGCCATCTGGAACTATTTCACACTACCTCAGCCAACACATTTGACAGCTACGTGCAATACGTGCGCAGCAACGGTTCCAAGAGGCGGCACTAAAATTTCCAGCTATAACACTACCAACTTAATCAAGCATCTCCAGAGATTTCACCCTAAAGAGCACACCGAGTTTGTTGAATGGAATCAACAAAAAGGAGGCGGCATGAAGCAGCTGACTTTTAAGGAGCTGAAGGGAAAAGGTGAAAAGTTTCCACCTTATAGTGTGCAGGCAACAAAAATCACTGAAAGGATACTGAACTTCATTGTCATGGATGGGCAGCTGCTCTCAATTGTTGGGGATAAGGGATTCCAGCTGCTAATTAACCACCTGGATCCATGCTACAAAATGGTAAGCCAAAAATATTTGTCGGAGACAGCGCTACCTGAACTGCACAGTAAAGTGTGCTAACACATATTAGAGAAGATAAGATGTCAAAGCGATGTTTACAAAAACAAATGCTTTAAGTCAATTCAGCAGTTTTTCTGTATCAGATGGGTATCGGAATCGACCGATACTAAACCTCAGATATCTGTATCATATCAGAAGTGAAAAAAGTGGATCGGCGCATCCCTACACACAACTACTAAACATGTATTTACATACAACAGATAATAATAGTTGGTAAAACTCACTTGATGGCTTCGCACATGTCCAGGCCCATTTTAACACAGTTCTTGGCATGTTTAGGCAGCGAGACTGGCAGCCCAGACACACAGTAGTAGCAGTCCCCCAGGATCTTGATTCTCATGCATTCATTCTCCTGTAAAGAACCACCCAATGATCATTTAAGGAGACCAGACAAGTGAGAAGTAACAAAGGCATCAAATGCTCTGACACTGCCCAACACAAAAACATTAATCTGGACAAACATACAGTTATCAGGGCTTGATTCCTGGCTGACCTGTCGAGTCAAACTTACTAATCTTCATTTAAAATAGTTTAATCTAACAGCAAGAAAGAAACACTAAAACTTCAAATATTTTCTCACCTTAGCAATTTGGTCAAATTTGCCAAACAGTTCATTCAGCATGATTACAAGCTCCTTGGGCGAACAGTCACTGGCCAAACGAGTGAAGCCAACAATGTCTGCATACAGAATACTGAAAGAAAGAAATGAAAATTGAAACGTTAACTTCCACTGACATGGAAACCATATGTAGAAAACAACAAACTGTGCATAGCTTCTGTTCCTGTGTGATTATTTCTGCATATTAGAAAACAAATTGCGACTTTATCACATAAACACAGATATAATCACCATTCTTTAAAGTCCAAAAAGCGCAGTCCAGTAAGAAACCAGTGAGTTTTGTTGCCTATCCATGCCTTTCAAATTTAAACTGCAGTACTTCATTTATATGAATAATTGTTGTGTGGTGTATGACACACGTGAGTCTTACCACGCTCAGCCTGGCAGAAAATCTCATGTCTTTTTTCAATTATCCACTATAGAAACTAAGGACCACCTGAATGTACTGTTAACAATCAGAGCACAGCGAGCATGCTTTTACCAAAATAGCCCATCAGCCTCTTATGACCATTAACAACGCGAGGAAGACTTTCAGACAAAAACACCTTGGCTATTCTGCCATTAACCTCCAGTATGTCTGATCAGTGACTCATTGAAAGGCCTGTCTGGTTCAGAGCTGAATCACAGTCCAAGCATCAATAAAGCTTCCCATCCAGCTGCAAACCAGTGAGATAGCGAAAGCTTATTTGACCTTTCACAAAGCCCTGACACAAAGGAGGACTGGAGGAATGTCAGCACAAATCCAACCTAAAGACAGGACTCGACTCCCTGCCTTGACATGGCTGATCTCAAGGGGGAAGTGAAACTAACCACAGCACCAGGAGACTCAGTGGACACCACACTCATTGTGCAGCAGTGAATGATCTGTCAGCAGCTCTGCAATGAAAGCAAGAATGCAATTTCCAACACGATGAAGTGCGTCTGACTTCCCAGTAGAATTACAAAGGCAATATATTAATCCAAGTATTCTCTGGGTTAACAATACTTCTAATGGTTATTTACATGAACACATTCAAAGTAAACACAGGAAAAAAAAAACACCTACAAAGCTGAACAGTGTAATAAAGGAGAACACATAAAGGAAAGCTGATTAATGCCACTGTTCAACAATGGACTGAATAAAACTGACCATGAGTTGAGACACAGAGGGCCACAGATGCAGTCTGAAAAAAAAACCTCAGGTGCTTCACGAGGCTGTCAACACAGCAAATGACAGCTCTGACTGTGTAATTACAAGGAAGGAGCCGTGCATCCAGTCTATCTGTCAACAGGCCTTAAACTAGCATCATAAAAGAAAATATGACTGAAAAGCCGCGACTATAATGTGTAAGATCAGTTTGTTTCTTGTAGAGAAAAGTTCCCTTATCAATAAAAAATGCAACCAAGATTTATTACAAGTACATAGGCATACTATGTTTTCAATATACAATGGTTTTATTTTCTTGTTTGGAGAAAAATTGAAACAAAGTACAAATTTGTCACGACATACTAGAAAAACTAAAAAACTCAGTGAAGTAAAAGATATTTGAAATAACCTATAATATTTGTTTATATTGAGGCCAGAGGACACTGTATATTTCCATCCATCCATTATTTTTACCCGTTTCTTCATTTCCAGGTTGCGGGGGTCACTGGTGCCCATTTCCAGCAGTTACTGTGCGAGAGGCAGAGACACCTTGAACAGGTCTCCAGTCCATCACAGGGACACATAGAGACAAACAACTATTCACTCTCTCACACCTAGAGACAATTTAGAGTTACCGATCAGCCTAACATGCATGTTTTTGGTCTGTGGGAGGAAACCGGAGTGCCCGGAGAAAACCTACACATGCACAGAGAGGACATGGAAACACCCAGAAAGGCTGCCAGCCAGGATTTGATCCAGAGACCTTCTTGCTGAGAAGCAGCAGCTCTACCAACTGAGCAACCGAACCTACTTTTTGTAAATTTAAAAAAGCCATTTGTCAAAGTTGATTTCTAACCGCCATCAAATCTCTCATTTTCTAAATGATTGAAACCTTCATACAGAAATCTGCAACTGGATCTACTACCTAAAATGGACATTTCTTCAGAATTATGAACCCCCCCCAACCACTTTTTCATTGTATTACTCTTAATTTTTTCCCCCCAGCTGCTCCCTTCTTCAGAGGTCACCACAGCAAATTAACTCGCATGAAGACTTGGCAATTTTTATTTTTTTTTTTACACCGGATGCCCTTCCTGACGCAACCATAGACCACTGTGCTACCACAGCCCTCTGTGTGGAGCAGAGAGCTGCTATCTAGAGGGGGTTAAGGGCCTTGCTAAAGGGCCCCGAGTGGGGCAAATGACACTGTATTACTCTGCTATGCCTTAATTTCTTTATGATTTGTACAATATTTAATAAAGTGAAATAGAGTTGAGCTGCTGATCTGATCAAAACAAGCTACAAGAGTATTTTAGGTGGTTTGTGGTTGTACCTGACGTTCTCGTGTCTCTTTACATAAAGGCTGTGGAAGTTGTTGTCTTTGACCAGTCGCTGTCGCTCTTCTTTATCTTTACAGTCCTGCAAGCGCTCCATTATTGCCAGTTTCATCTTCATGGAGATATAAACAGGGAGAACAGACTGCAGTAGGTTTTCCTGCAGACACACACACACACAGGATATAAGTTTCAGAACAAAACTGCAAATAAGTAGAGCCAGGAAATTAAGCTAATTGATTATAGCAGCTTGAAAAAAAAAGTGAGACATGATCCCTGAGACCTAACCTCTCTTTATACAACCTTGTGAGATCTGACAATGTGGGATGAGTCCAGACTTGTTGAGTTTGTCTACATAATGTTGTCACCTGCACGTCTCTTAAAAGAGCTTTAAAACGTGGATGAAAACATCAGTGAACGTGACAAGAAACATGAGGTCTAAGGTAAGTGATGTGACAGTTTCAGGATGGAGAGAAAGCAGCTTGAATTTGTTTGTTTTTAATAAAATACGACATAAGATTAGTAATTTTATTTTATTTACCCGTTATTTTTACAGGAAGTCTCAATGAGTCACGAGAACTCATTTTCAAGAGAGACCTGTTTGGGAGCAGACGGTGGGGGTTAAGGGCCTTGCTCAAGGGCCCAGAGTGGGGCAAATGAAGGTGGAGGCATGTGTGGATGCTTCACCTTTCCCACCCATATTTTGATGTTGCCGGTCTGGGGAGTCTCTTCGGGAGGTGGCTTTTGGTCTGCAGAGCTTTAAAGGACCAAAAGTGTGAATGTTTTTCTCCACGAGCTGATAAATCAGTCGGCACGAAGCAGGGCTCTGCAGGATGTTCATCTGCGCACGACGCCCGCAGGAGGTGGCGCTTTATCAAACACAGAAACCGATTTGCAGCTTTATTCCTTAAAATTCCAAACTGTCACGACATCAGAGCCGAGTCCTGAGCATTCACAGCCGCCCGAGTCTTTAAGTCGTGCACGGCTCGAGCGTATTTTTAGCTGTGAAGCTGCTCGTGCAAAGCGTCCCTCGCACGCTGCAGACGAGCTGAGGAAATGCCAACCTGAGCGCCGTGCATTAAGATGTGGTTTAAGAAGCTCAGGCAACAATCGAGCTAAAAAAAAAAAAAAA